TAATTTTATTTTATAAACTAAACTAGTGATAAAACAAGAAACTAAAAGATTCGATTGCAAGATCTAAAGATATACCTTCAAGCACTGACCTCCCCGGCAACGGCGCCAGAAAAGAGTTTGATGTCTACTACACAACCTTCTTCTTGTAGACGTTGTTGAGCCTCCAAGTACAGAGATTTGTAGGACAGTAGAAAATTTCCCTCAAGTGGATGACCTAAGGTTTATCAATCCGTGGGAGGCGTAGGATGAAGATGGTCTCTCTCAAGCAACCCTGCAACCAAATAACAAAGAGTCTCTTGTATCCCCAACACGCCCAATACAATGGTAAATTGTATAGGTGCACTAGTTCGGTGAAGAGATGGTGATACAAGTGCAATATGGATGGTAGATAAAGGTTTTTGTAATCTGAAAATATAAAAACAGCAACGTAACTAATGATAAAAGTGAGCACAACGGTATTGCAATGCGTTGAAACAAGGCCTAGGGTTCATACTTTCACTAGTGCAAGTTCTCTCAACAATAATAACATAATTGGATCATATAACTATCCCTCAACATGCAACAAAGAGTCACTTCAAAGTCACTATTAGCGGAGAACAAACGAAGAGATTATTGTAGGGTACGAAACCACCTCAAAGTTATTCTTTTTGATCGATCTATTCAAGAGTCCGTAGTAAAATAACATGAAGATATTCTTTCTGTTCAATCTATCCTGGAGTTCGTACTAGAATAACACCTTAAGACACAAATCAACCAAAAAATCTAATGTCACCTAGATACTCTAATGTCACCTCAAGTATCCGTGGGTATGATTATACGATATGCATCACACAATCTCAGATTCATCTATTCAACCAACACAAAGTACTCCAAAGAGTGCCCCAAAGTTTCTACCAGAGAGTCAAGACGAAAATGTGTGCCAACCCCTATGCATAAGTTCACGAGGTCACGAAACTTGCAAGTTGATCATCAAAACATACATCAAGTGGATCACATGATATCCCATTGTCACCAAAGATAAGCACGTGCAAGACATACATCAAGTGTTCTCAAATCCTTAAAGACTCAATCCGATAAGATAACTTCAAAGGGAAAACTCAATCCATTACAAGAGAGTAGAGGGGGAGAAACATCATAAGATCCAACTATAATAGCAAAGCTCGTGATACATCAATATCGTACCACCTCAAGAACACGAGAGAGAGAGAGAGAGAGAGAGAGATCAAACACAGAGCTACTGGTACATACCCTCAGCCCCGAGGGCGAACTACTCCCTCCTCGTCATGGATAGCGCCGGGATGATGAAGATGACCACCGAAGAGGGATTCCCCCCTCCGGCAGGGTGCTGGAATGGGTCTAGATTGGTTTTTGGTGGCTACGGAGGCTTCTGGCGGCAGAACTCCCGATCTATTCTGCTCTGTGAAGTTTTTAGGGTATATGGATATATATAGGAGGAAGAAGTACGTCGGTGGATCTCCGGGCTGTCCACGAGGCAGGGGCGCGCCCCCCACCCTCGTGGGCAGCCCGGGACTCTTCTGGTCCATCTCCGATACTCCGTGGGCTTCTTCTGGTCCAAAAATAAGTTCCGTGAAGTTTCAGGTCAATTGGACTCCGTTTGATTTTCCTTTTTTGCGATACTCTAAAACAAGGAAAAAACAGAAACTAGCACTGGGCTCTAGGTTAATAGGTTAGTCCCAAAAATCATATAAAATAGCATGTAAATGCATATAAAACATCTAAAGTTGATAATATAATAGCATGGAACAATCAAAAATTATAGATACGTTGGAGACGTATCATGGGCTCGCCACACCGGTCACGTGGAGGCCCATCCGTCCCGGTTCATGTAAGAAGCAGGACTAAATGCCTAGGGCTTTAGTAACGACCCTTTAGTCCCGGTTCAAAAACCGAGACAAATGGGTCTTACGAACCGGGACAAATGGCCCTTTTTCTACTAGTGATGCTATGTGGTTGAAATGATGATATCATGCCAACTTTCAACCTTTTTAGAGTTCATTTGAAGTGTTTTTCAATTTCAGGGTCATTTAGCTGAAAAAATCAGTAAATGCATGAAAGAATTTGTTTGCACATAATATTTCTTCGCGTTTCAAATGCCAAAACACATAAGTACCCTAACTATTACAAAGACTCCCTCCGATTTGTTCGAAGCGACACTTTCCAGATATATATAAGTCCAGAAATTCAGTAGAGAAGAAAGTGATGACAGTGAAGCCGATCACATCCTAGAGTGGGATCTTTGGGTCTGAAACTTTTTCTTCACGTGTGTCCCTTTGCACTGTAACCATGGACAATCTTCATCATTTAACTGGATGCTCGGGTCAATATTCACTGTGAATGGAGTAATTTCATCAAACTTTTCATAATCTTCTGACATGTCTATCTTGTCATTCACTCCCACGATGTCTCTTTTTCCTGAAAGAACTATGTGGCGCTTTGGCTCATCGTAAGATGCATTCGCTTCCTCATCTTTTTTTTCTTGGCTTGGTAGACATGTCCTTCACATAGAAAACCTGTGCCACATCATTGGCTAGGAGGAATGGTTCATCTGCATACGCAAGATTGTTGAGATCCACTGTTGTCATTTCGTACTGCGGGTCTTCTGTTACCCCGCCTCGTGTCATATTGACCAATTTGCACCGAAACAAAGGGACCTTCAAACCAAGTCCATAGTCAAGTTCTCATATGTTCTCTATGTAACCACAATATGTTTCCTTTTCCGTCTTGGTTGCTGCATCAAAGCGGACATCACTGTTTTGGTTGGTGTTCTTCTTATCTTGGGCGATCGTGTAAAATGTATTCCCATTTATCTCGTACCCTTTGAAAGTCATTATATTGGAAGATGGCAACTGGGACAACAAGTACATGTCATCTTCAATAGCGGCGTCGTGCATGACACGTGTCTGCAACCAACCGGCAAAATTCCCCGTTTGTTCACGTGTAATCCAGTCGTCAGACATGAACGGGTGGGTGCTCGCCGGATCCCGTGGCTCCGGCGGCAAGCGGCGGCCTCACCGGGACATGGACGCGCGGGTACTCGCCGGATCCCGTGGCTCCAGCGGCCAGTGGCTGCCTCGCCGGGATATGGACAGGTGGGTCCTCGCCGGATCCCGTGGCTCTGGCGGCCAGCGGCGGCCTCACCGGGACATGGACGCGCGGGTACTCGCCGGATCCCGTGGCTCCAGCGGCCAGTGGCTGCCTCGCCGGGATATGGACAGGTGGGTCCTCGCCGGATCCCGTGGCTCCGGCAGCCAGCGGCTGCCTCGCTGGCCGGATCGAGCGATGGTGCGGGGTCGGGAATTACCTTGGGACTAAGATTGGATATTTAGAAAAAAAAATGTTAGACTGACATGCGGGCCCCACCTGTAATAATGGTCAACTTGACAGTCAAAATAAACGGAGTTGACTTTTTCGCCACGTCAGCCCTGACAGGTGGGTCCAGCATATCATAAACGTGTTTATATCATCTAAACCGGTCATTTTCTGGAAGTGGTAGTTTTTAGTCACAAAATTAGAAAATTTTGGTAGTTTTCGGTCAGCTTTTAAAAAGCGATAGTTCCGTGGGATGGTAACCCCTAATGTGGTAGTTTTTTGTCAATCACTCATTTAGCATGCAAGCTTGGTTCAATATATATGCATACATGATACATCTACATGATTTTTTGATGGAATTACTTCGATGGCCATGGATATGGTTGCCACGATATCTGGAACGAAGGACCTCACTTCCTGTACCGTTTTCTTTTGGAAAGAGAAGTGGTAGTCGTTGACGCCGAACTCTCCCGCGAAGAAGAGGGAACTGCCAAAGAATTCCATTCACTCTGCATGCATTATCATTGGAGTTCTCATCAAATGTTCACTTCGATAATGATGCCCGTGTATGGATACATTACCTCGCTCTGTGCGGCACAAGTAGGGCTTCATGGACTCGAACCACTCAAGCTGCACTCCTAAGCTGGTGTTGAGGGGGAACTTGCTGGGTGCACCGGTGATATCCCTCTCGTGGTAGAAATCGGAGTCAAGAGTGGTGGCGGCGGCAACGGCGAAATTGGCACCTTGATGGAAGCTGCCGTTATGCACCTGGGTGGCGGGCACATATGGCAAGCCCATGTTTTCAGCTACAACCAATGTCCCAAAAATACATTAAACACATTGACAAATTAATCTAGCTTCTGGCTAGGACTAGGCCTATGCAATTAGTACTATGTACGTACCAATGAAGTCGATGCTTTAATTAAAAACGACTATCCAGTGTATACTAATTAGCAGCTTAAACCGGTTCGGATGGCGGTCGCATAACAGGATAGGTGTTTAGGGAGCTTATCCTCTTTTTTGCCTTACCGGTTGTGATTCTGAGCATGTACTTTTATTTTCTTTTCTTTGCTTCGTTTGCGAGCTGTAATACCTTTATTACTTTGTGCTATTTCGAGACTTTTTAATAATATGACTGCATGCATCATTATGATGCAGAGGCCGAAGGCACGCCTCCATTTCCAAAAAAAAAAGTAGCAGCTTAAACGGGAATCCAGGCAACTAGCTGCATGTGCACATGTGACATGATCGATAGATCGGTTACCCAGGTACATATAACGTGCCCAAGTCCACATCGGCAGGAGAAGACTTGGCTTTCGATTAGACCAGCATATAAAGATAAAGACTTGGTGGTTTTATATATGCAGAAAGTCTTCACTAGCAGGTTTTATGCATGTTCGTCGTTGCATTAATTTATTGATCACTGGCATGTTCTATGCACGTTCGTCGTTCATACAATGTCTGTAAAGACTACTGCAGCGAGCATAATTGATCTGTGGATGGTTCGTTTGATTCCCCTCGTTTTTGTTCCTATCCAAATACACATGGCCATGAAGGTAGAGCATCTTTGTCTTCAGTAATGTCCATATAAACCAAGCTGGGAAGGCTACAGGACACGATCAACACGTATTCAACTGTCAACTCTACACCTTGAGAGAAGAAGAAACAATATGAGTGTTGTGGTGATCAGCAAGTCCCCACCCGTGCTCGTCGAGCCATGGGAGGCGACAGTCACGGGAGGGGACATCAATCTGTCGTCTTATGACAAGATGTTTGGCGGCAGATCAGTTACAGTGCTCTTCATCTTTGCGTGTTCAATTCCAGATCCCGTGGAGACCATTAAAAGGGGATTGTCACAAGCACTTGTCCATTACTACCTTATCGCCGGCCGCCTTGCCGCTGGCGACGCAGCCGGCGAATTCGTCATCAAATGCACCGGCGAGGGGGTCTCCTTTGTTGCCGCCTCTGCCAACTGCGCCATCAATGACGTCCCAGAGTTCTGTGACTCTTCGCTGCAAGAAGAGCTCGCCATCTTCCATGCGGCCGAGGGTTTCAGCAACACTGAACCACTAGTGTTGATGCAGGTGACCGTGTTCACTTGTGGCGGGTTCGTCATGGGGGTGACGTGGAACCATGCCGTCGGCGATGGTACCGGGATGGCGCAGTTTATGCAGGCCATCGGAGAGTTGGCCCGCGGGCTGCCGTCGCCGTCCGTCATCCCGGTGAGGTCCAAGAATTCGCTCGTTTTGGACTTGCCTCCATTTTCCACAAACTTTGTTCAATTTTTGGGCATGCTCCAGCCGTCCCCAATGGTGTTCCTCGACATTACTGTCCCATCAAGCTTGGTCAACCGCATCAAAAGCACGTACACCATGAATTACCACCGGCCATGCACTGTGTTTGAGGCAGTTGCCGCGGTCCTGTGGCAGTGCCGAACCCGTGCAATCATGTCCGACCCGTCGGCCCTCGCCGTGCTTACCTTCCCAGCAAATGCGCGAAAGCACGCGGTTGCCAGGGAGGGCTTCTACGGCAACTGCGTCACCGCGCAGCTGGTGACGGCGACCAGTGGCGCCGTGGCGAACGGCGACCTCATGGAGCTAGTGAAGATGATCCAGCATGCCAAGGATCGGGTGCCCGGCCAGTCGAAGATCGACGAGCTGCGGCAGTTGGATGGGTACAATCTTTTCTTCATGTCGTGCTGGCGAAACCTTGGCATGGAGGCGATTGACTTTGGTTTTGGGCCGCCGGCGAGATTGATGGAGTACACCAAGGAAAGGACGACGCTGCCAAGCTGCGCAACGTGCGTCCCTTGCAATGACGAGTACAACGTGCAGTCCATCTGTGTCATACAGGAGCACGCCGACGCTTTCATCCGTGAATTAGCAAAATCCCACCTCACTTATAATCCGCTTTCAGCTTCATCCAAGCTTTGATTTTCTCCCAGATGCATGGAAGGATATGTATCCCTACTTTTATTCCCTCCATTTAATTTACTTTCTTCAATGATATGTATCCTACTCATTTGTATTGAGAGAACAGTAGTAGAACTTTAGTACTCCCTCCGTCCCAAAATTCTTGTCTTAGATTTGTCTAGATACAGATGTATCAAGTCACATTTTAGTATTAGTTACATCCGTATCTAGACAAATTTAAGACAAGAAATTTGGAACACAGGGAATACATAGTTGTATTAAAGCACCGACAATTAGTATGGATCGGAGTGAGTAATATGTACTCCTGGATATTCGTTTTGGCAACTAGGTCCAGGTGATCTCGAAATCTGCACCAAGCGCTCTCACGGAGATGCACACTGCCTTTAATTATGAACAATGTTCTCTATTCTTCAATGCTCTATCCTTTACGAACATTTTTTTTAATGTTCCTGCCGCCATGATACCAGTAATTTCAATGTTTTTGTTCAGTGTCGCCATGTATCTATACAACCTTGTAGAATTATTTTCCTCGCAAACCATAAATGATATAGACAACACTTCTGCTTCGGTAGACCCCCCTCTCCCGAATACAAGGATGGCTGAGATTGGTCGATACCTCTTCATAACAAAGGGCATGATGGTCATATTTTGAAAAAGTGACCGCCCGGCGGCCCGACGGGGATATGTATAGAAATACGTGTTGGTAGTTTTTTTTCGTGGGACACGCACGTGCCCGCATGCACACGCCGCGGGTATGTGGGAAAAAATTTAAGTAAAAAATGCCCGACTTCGCTCCTGGGCCCATAGTAAACTATACAATCAACCCAAATCAAGCCCGAAGACGACTCGGGCGGTCGATTCGGCCCGCAAATGGGCCCAGAAGGGAGGTCCAACGGGGCGGCAGAGACTTTTGGCCGCCCACAGACTACATAAATGTAACACTATTTATCACAAAGCTTTCTTCAGACAGAAATAGAAAGAAAAAAAACTCCTTAAAAAGAGAGTCAGGAAGCAACATCCAAGCTCTACCATAGAAACGCGCATTCAAAGGAAGCCAACTGCCCACTTGGTATACGGCAGCAGCTGTGGTATCGTTTCAAAACTATTTTTATTTCCAGGAAGTGCGAGCTCCCCAACCTATTCAAGTTTTATGTCTCAATTCAAGCTCAGCTCGAGTCCTAGTCTAGCCGAGCATCAACCTAAAATTGAGCTCGAAAAGTTTGATAAGTATTAAACTTTCTTTATTTCACATGTGATTAAATGTCATTTTCTTGTAGTGCAGACGCACTTGTTAGAGCTGAACTTGAGCCTACCTCGCTGTCATCCGGCTTACTATGTTGTTATTTGAGTGAACATTTATCTTCTTTCGTGGAGCTTTTCCGAGCCGAGCAAGCTTTTTCCAGCAAAGCTCGAGCCCAGCGGCAAATTCGAATACCAATGATCAGGCACACTCGAGCTCGGCTAATTATTAGCTCCGTTGAATTCAAGCTCCAGGTAACTCATGCAAAAGTCTGAACTGATGAAAAGAAACATGCAATATATTTCAACACTCCTCTCACGTCTAAGCTTATTTAGTCAGGATTTATAAGTGAAGACCACTTGTGTCTGGTACCATATTGAATTCATGCTCCAGCCAATACATCAAAAAATTCGAACCGATGAAGAGAGAATCGGGCAATATATTTGAACACGCTCAAGCTTGGCTCATTAACAACCCTATCTAGAGACACGTGTATGTAAGCGTGTGCCAACTTAATTAATCTAATGTACCAAACTTAATTCAATTTGTTATGGAAAGTAATCAGCTATCTGTACATGCCAACCTTATTACAAAGGTATTAAGGTGCCAAAAATGTAGCAACTAAGTGTGACAAGCGACAATAGGAAGCCTATCAGAGAAAATGACCCAAACCGGGACATAAATTGTAGGTGTTGTTTAGTTTGTGACTAATTTTGCCAAAGGTTGTCACATTTAAGATTAGGCAAGTTTGACCAATTTAGGTGAGTGTTTGGTTCAAGCCATACCTTAGGCAAGACACAATAGGGCCACACATGACATGCACATAAAAAGCGTGGCAAGATTCCCTTAGATTTGCCAACTTTTAACTCTCATTTCGCTGAACTAATCTTAGGCAAACTTGGCCAAAACGTGTGGCAAAGTATGACAATGCTAGGCCTAGAACCAAACAGTCCCGTAATCCACTACAACATCTTTGTGCCATGGTGTTTGAGCGCTGTAGGACAACCTATCACCACAACCAATAGATACAGAAGTAACACACGTGCATTGGAGAATGAAGTTTTTCTTGTTAAAGGTAGTATCATTCTAAACTAACTACACAAACTAATAAAGAACTGGTGCATTATCAATTAAATAAGCAAGCCAAGACACTAGTAATCAAAGTTACACAGCTAAGAGCATCTCCAACTGCGCCCCCAACAGCCTCCCCCCTCTCCCGGCGATTTTTTAGCGTCGGTGGCCGAAAATTGGCCCAGTCGCACCCTCAGGATCTCGTTTAGCGCAGGTTTGGGCGAAATACAGAGCCCGCGATCCCGCCCCGAACCCAAGCGGCCGGGTGCCGCCTGGGCGCGCCCGCACAAGTGAAAAGCGACATGGGGCCGCTCTGTCGGTGACTGAAGCCCTTTTCCCGCCGTTTTCTCCCGCTTTCCCCCCTAGGCTCCCCTCTCTTCTCCATTCCTCCCGCCAAACGCTCGCCTCCTCCCTACCCTTCCGCCCGCCATGCGGCCGATGAAGTACGTGATGCCGCGCGCCGCGACGGATCCCACAGCCGCCGCCGCCGCCCAGCCGAAGCAAAGGAAGCCGAGGGCGCCGCTATCCAAGCTCCCTGGCATGAGCAACGCCGAGTGGAAGGAGGATGTGGAGCGCCGGGAGGCCGTCACCGCCGACAGGCGCAACAGGGCCAAGAAGGCCAGGGAAAAAGCGGCGCACGCTGCGGCTGCGGCGGTGGCGGAACAAGCGGAGGCGGCGCGCTCGGCGATGATGAATCCACCCGGTGGGCACTCGTACGCGGCCTGGAGCCAGCAAAGCGTCGGCTCTCCGGCCAGGTTCTCGTCGTCGTCGCACCCATGGAGCACGTCGTCGCCGGGCTATGCCGATGGGGACGCCCATGGTGGCTTCAACCCCAACATCACCTTCCCCCATGGGCGCCCTGTCCAGCGCACGCCCTTGCCCGCGTTCGCCGGCGTGCAGTACCCGCTGTACACGTACTCGCTGCCGGACTACACAGCCGCACCGACGCCACCTCTTCTCCGCGTCCTCTACTCGCAAGCCGCATCCTCGACGCATCTCGGCGACGCCGACGTGACGGAGGCCGACATGGAGGACATCATCGCAGCCGGCTCGGCTGGCGCCGCCGCTTCCCCCGGGTTAACTACCCAGGATGGCTCGATTGACCTCGGTGACATGGACGACGAGCTCGACTACGGCGAGGAAGAGCCGGAGGAGGGGGAAGAGGAGGAGGAGGAACCAACGCCGACAAGGAAAGGCGTGGCGACGAGAAGCTCAAGGCGTGGTTCTTGGCGGAGCGCGGCCTCATCCTTAATCAGATACCGGCGACGCCGACGCCGACGCCGTCGCCCAGCCCGGCGGCTGTTGACGATGCCTCTGCGACACCCAGTCCCACCGACGATGCCTCTGTCGCGCCCAGCAGCACAGAAGCCACGCCGACTCCTTCCAGCCCGCGTACGCAGACGCCGCCGCCGCCGGAGGTTGAGCTCGACGTTTGATGTACTCCTTCCGCGTCCTTCCTTTTCTGTACGCCGAACTACTGCGTGTCCTTTTATTTGATCGCCGAACTGTGGCACCGAATCGCCGAACTATTGCGATAATCGTCTGTTTGTTGTTTCTTTGAGCGGGAACGATGGAGTTCGAATATGGGGCGCCTTGGGGGCGGCACCTGGGACCGTGGCTGGGAAGAAACGAACCCCAAAGGCCGATCTAGCGCCGGCTCGCCCCCAGGCCGCTCTTTTTTGGCGCCCTGGGGGCCGAACGGCTGGAGATGCTCTAAGACAACAAAAATGTGACATGAGAGAAAATATTTTGGACCTAGTGTGCAGCAGCCGCAGTGAGTACGCGTGTGGTGTCTTCGCAGTCAAATCCATCGACAAATTTGGTTCTACTCCATTTATTTATCCAGTCTCCTTTATTTTCTTATTTACACTTGTAGTTACTTTTTTTAGAGAAGACGGACTGGGTCAGTTTTGGGCTTGTATTGTGGTACGACTCTTTTGGATTCTTTTGGCAGAGTGTGGTTTTTGTTTTTTAACAGTTACAAATAATCAAGGGGGAAAACAAACTTAAACTACGGCCGGCCAACATTTGGCCAACAACCCGCTCTCCGCTCCTCATTCTTATTTCTCCACGGCTTCTATGAAATATTTTCTTTATGTTTCTCGGTCTGTTCTAACCCATGTGCAAATATTCCACCACTACATGAACATCATGTGACCAATAAAAATTACACCATGTTGTTTGCGCTAGAAATGGATCTAGTCATCTTCAAAAACATGTGATGAATATTTCGACATGCAATATCTCATCACAGTGATTAAAGAAACATGTGTGCAACTATTGAGGACCCTATATTTAGAGATGTATACACATATTAAGCATAGTTGAGAAGTTAAGGGGCATTTTATATATTGTTAGGAAGTAGAATGTTTGAATAGTGTTTAAAACGACAAATCTGAGCTAGTGGACCAGGCACTCCAACAACCAACACTGTTTTTTAAGAGAAAAACAGCAGGTGAATTACCCGACAATTTCTTCAGACTTTTAAGAAGTACAAATAATTGCAAGAGAACAAGACAAAAGGACAGCAGGAACTACTCCGGCTGGGGTCTCCTATGGGCATAAAAGTGTACAAAACGTGTACTACATATAAACCCGCCCTTGCATCAATCCAACGGTCCAGACAAATCTGGGACCAGCCACTTGATCCTACAAAATTTGCAGAGTAAGACGGATATAAAGTCAAGAG